TGCAGTGATCCTCCTGCCTCAGCCTCCTGAGTGCTGGGATTACAGGCAGGCACCACTGCACCTGGCACCTGCACCATTTCTTAATTAATTTCAAGGCATTTAGAAGATTTATGTCAGGAAACCCGGAGGAAGGCCAAGTACTGTTTCAAAATATCACAGTTAGAAAACCATGGGCACGGCTGGGAGAGCATTAAAGTTGGGAGGCAAACAATGAAAGCCTAATTCACCAGTTTATCTTTTGCTTTCTGAAAATCACAGTGATAACATCCTTTGCGTTATTTTATTTTTGCAGCACTGGGGATTGAGCCAGGGCTTCGTGTATGCTAAGCAAGTGTTCTACCACTGAGCTGCATCCTACCCCTGGTGTGTCTTTTTTACTTAAGATTAATTTAAAACTAAGGATCATTTTCCCCTAAGATAATTGAATGTCTGCTGTTTACTTAACAATGAAGATGTTAAATATTTTATACAATGTCTTGTATTCTTGATCCTCAGTTTATTTTCTTCAGTTGTTCCTTACCCTATGAAATGATTTATTGTAGGTGGCCACAAATAGCCGAGTTTACTTATTTGACATTTTCCTTCTGGGAAGTCGAGCTTTCAACAATGGACTTCAGATGATATTAGAAGACAAAAGAATTTTAAAGGCAAGTGTATAAGCTGGGCCCACTACTAATAAGATTAGCAGCCAGGTTCTAATTACTCCATTTTTATCTTCTGATTCCTTAGGTTATCCATGATTGTCGTTGGCTTTCTGATTGCCTTTTTCATCAGTATGGGATTACGCTGAATAATGTCTTTGACACCCAGGTACATAATGGGAAACATTGTGTTCAAACCAGTGCATGTAGGTTCTGTTAAGTGCTGAAAATCTTTTTGGTGTGTGCCTCTCTCCTTCCCACTTCTCATGTTTGTACAGGATTTGAGAACATTTGGTAAACTACAAAAAACACTGCAGAAAAGCTAGTTAAAATTGCCTAGGAGCCAGGTGTGGTGGCACATGCCTGTAAATCCCAGCCCTTGGGAGGCTGAGGCAAGAGGATTACTGCAAGTTTGAGGCCAGCCTCGTCTTTACAGTGAGTTCAATGCCAGTGTGAACTACATAGTGAGACCCTGTCTCAAAAAAAAAAAAAAAAAGTTTAGGAATCTATTTTCCTTATTTTGCTCCAGAACTTGGCAAATGACAAACAAGATTCATGCTCCAGCTTGGCCTTGTGGTACACACTTGTAATTACAACATTCAGGAAGCTGAGACAGGAGGATTGCTGTGAATGTGAGGCCAGCCTGGGCTACATAATGAATTCAAAGCCAGGGACTGGGGATTTAGCTTAGCACAGCGCCTGCCTGGCAAGCGCAAGGTCGTGAGTTCAATTCTCCGTACCGGAAAAAAAAAACAAAAAAATTTAAAAAAAATAAAAAAAGAATTCAAAGCCAGCCTGAACTACATAGTGAGACATTATCTCAAACAAACAAATCTATGCTCCATAGCATTCACAAATTTGAGCAGTTTTGGGCATATGAGAAGTGTGACATGGTAGACTTAGGATAAAATGAGAAGTCACATCTCTGCCTTTACCACATATGTACTTCCGTGGAGTAAGCAGTTCTAGTGTGATGTAGCCTGAGAGATGTAATTTGACCCTCATCCAGTGGACCTTAGAGAAGTGAGAAATCCCTGGACTAGAGCAGCTTTTAAAGCTGAGCTAAGTTCTCTGGTTTGTTCGTGATAGCAGTAAAACCGCTAGTTTCCATTGCCTGTCTCCCTTTCCTCCTTTTTTTCTTCTTTCTTCCTTTTCTCCCTTTATCTTTCTTTTCTTCATTCTGCTTTTTTGTGCTGGGGCTTAAAATCAAGGCTGCCTCATACATGTTAATCCCATATTCTTTCCCTGAACTGCCCCTCAGCCCCTGGGTATGTTTTCTTTAGTTTATTCTAGTCTTTTGGTTTTAGGTTTATGCCAGTGAAAGGAAGTTGTAAATTTTTCTTTGAGGCAGGGTCTTGCAAAATTACCCTGGCTGACCTCAAACTTAATTTTCCTTCTGCTCCAGCCTCCCAGAGTACTGGGATTACAGGGACATGCCACCAGACCTGGCCACCATCAGATTTCTTGATTAAAGTTTGTATGTATGTCCAGTAAAGACTTCAGC